TCGATAAATAACGGGGTCCACAGACCACCGTTTTCTTTCGTAAAAAAACAGGGTGCGGGGCATTTTTAGCAGTGCATATATATATAATAATATAATATAATATAATATAATATAATATAATATAATATAATATACATATACATATACATATACATATACATATACATATACATATACATATACATATACATATATACATACACCTATATACATATACATATACATATACATATATATACACAAAAAACAACAACAATAACAACAACTTATCCTGGCGATGGACCCAACCATATGCAGTTACGAGTACCGCAAAGCAGGTTGAACGAATGAGAGGGAACTAACTCCCTAAGGGGCCACGAACCGTGTGAGAGGTGTGCCGAAATGGGCGCGGTGCCGCCATGCGAACGCAGCCACTGGGGCCCTCGGTGGAGCTCCCTATAGGGCCACGAAACGTGTGAGGGGTGTGCCGAAATGGGTGCGGTGCCGCCATGCCAACGTAGCCACTGGGGCCCTCGGTGGAGCTCCTTATGGGGCCACGAAACGTGTGAGGGGTGTGCCGACATGGGTGCGGTGCCGCCATGCCAACGCAGCCACTGGGGCCCTCGGTGGAGCTCCCTATGGGGCCACGAAACGTGTGAGGGGTGTGCCGACATGGGTGCGGTGTGCGCGACATCGGTGGTGCGGTGCCGCCATGCCAACGGGCCACTGGGGCGGTGGAAGCTCCTGCCATGCCAACGCATGGGGCCTTCGGTGGAGCTCCCGCCACGAAGCGTGTGAGGGGTGTGCCGACATGGGTGCGGTGCCGCCATGCCAACGCAGCCACTGGGGCCCTCGGTGGAGCTCCCTATGGGGCCACGAAGCGTGTGAGGGGTGTGCCGAAATGGGCGCGGTGCCGCCATGCCAACGCGGCCACTGGGGCCCTCGGTGGAGCTCCCTATGGGGCCACGAAACGTGTGAGGGGTGTGCCGAAATGGGTGCGGTGCCGCCATGCCAACGCAGCCACTGGGGCCCTCGGTGGAGCTCCCTATGGGGCCACGAAACGTGTGAGGGGTGTGCCGAAATGGGTGCGGTGCCGCCATGCCAACGCAGCCACTGGGGCCCTCGGTGGAGCTCCCTATGGGGCCACGAAACGTGTGAGGGGTGTGCCGAAATGGGTGCGGTGCCGCCATGCCAACGCAGCCACTGGGGCCCTCGGTGGAGCTCCCTATGGGGCCACGAAGCGTGTGAGGGGTGTGCCGAAATGGTGCGGTGCCGCCATGCCAACGCAGCCACTGGGGCCTTCGGTGGAGCTCCCTATGGGGCCACGAAACGTGTGAGGGGTGTGCCGAAATGGTGTGCCGGTGCCGCCATGCCAACGCAGCCACTGGGGCCCTCGGTGGAGCTCCCTATGGGGCCACGAAACGTGTGAGGGGTGTGCCGTGATAGTGGGAGGAGGGAGGAGGGAGGGGGGAGGAGGCGGAGGAGGAGGAAGGACGGAGAGGAGACGCGGGGCACCGTCTCTTCAAAACGAGGACCCAACACCACAGGATGGTTGGGAAAAACACGAGGTCTGCAGCCCCGACCGCGACGCAGAAAAACGTCCGAGTCCCGCGCGCAGGAATTCCGAGGATGTCTCGCGCGTGCCGCGTCCCGCGCGCAGGAATTTCGAGGATGTCTCGACGACTTCGCTTGTTTTTTCCAGGATGTCTGTGAACATGTTGAGTTTTTGCGTGCCCGCTCGAGGATGGTGCGCCCCCCGCGCAAAACAAATCGAGGATGCCTTGAGCGAAACGGTTGTTTTGCAAAACTTGAGGGACCTGGGCGCCCCAGCATGCCCCTGGAGGCCCTGGGAGGCGGCGTAATCTACGATGGATCGTGGCGCTTGGAGCGCGGACCACGCGTAATTTGCGGGGGATCGTGGCCCTCGGAGCGCGGGCGCAGTGTAATTTACGAGGGGTCGGGGCCTTGGGAGCTCGGGCGCAATGTAATTTACGAGGGATCGTAGCCCTTGGAGCGCGGGCGCAGCGTGACATACGAGGGATCTGGGGGCTCGGACGCAGCGTAATGTACCAGGGATCGTGGCCCTGGGAGCGCGGGACGCAGCGTAATTTACAAGGGGTCGGGGCCCTGGGAGCGCGACCCCAATAACACTGAGCACTGCAACCTGGCACTTTCCCTGAAACGTTCCGTGGCGCGTCCCGTGGCAAGTTCCCCTGGCACGGCGCGCGGCGCGTCCCCTGTCAGGAGCGAAAGAAGGACGTACATGTACATGAATCCACGCTGGTCTCGAGAGCACGCATTGCACAAATGTTCGTATAACGCGGCCGGTCTCGCGAATCGAGGGGCCGTGTTCATGTACATAGGTGGGCGCGTACGTCCTTTGTAGGCTCCCTACCCTGGCACGTCCCGTGGCACGTCCATTGGCACGCGTTCCGTGGCGCGTCCCCCTGGCACGTCCCGCGGTGCGTCTCCGTTGCGCGCCCCCTGGCACGTCGCTTGGCGCGTGCCCCCTGTCAATTAGCTCTGAGGCAGCTACTATGTTCGGGCGACGATATCTATACATATCCACTGCTCCCTGACCATGCCCATCTTGAACCCAGGAGCTGTGTATGCGCCCTCCTGGCCAAGCCAGGAGGGCGTGGCGTATACACCGCTGCGGGGTTGAGGATGGGCCTGGCCAGGGAGCAGTGGATATGCATAGATCTCGTCGCCCTATATATGTGCCCAGGCAGCTCGAGCTTAAGGTCTAGATCAGTTCGGCCAGGACTCGGAAGCAAAGGAGGACTCGATCCACAACGCCATAGGGCAAAATCTCGGCATGGCACATCGCGACTTCAGCACGGCGCAGCACAGCACAGCCCTCGGCACGGTACATGAAGGTCGACACATTGAGCATTGCTTTTGCCCGTCGTCCAATCAGGTGTCTTTGAAGCGTTGCCATGCCTTACATGTCTGGATTCCTTTCCGGGTTCGTGGGTCGATCATGTTCAAGCTCACGGGGACATCGCGGCGCCTGTGGCTTCCACAGACAAATATTGGTTTGCACGTGGTGAATATAAAAAGGGGTCCCTAAGGAAATCGCAGCGCCCCCAGTTTCCCCAGAAAGCAATCATTCAGCAGAGAAGCCGAAAGGATTCCCAGAGGAAATCACAGCGCCTGTGGTTTCCTCCGGCAACATTTGGTTAGCATTGAAATGTTACATGAGTTCCAAAGGACATCGCGGCGCTTGTGATCTCCACTGGAAAAAATGGTTTTGCATTGAATGTCCAACGGGATTCCTAAGGAAATCGCAACGCCTCTGACTACCACCGAAAGCACGTAGTTTGCATTGACGTGTTGAAGGACATCGCAGCATACGTAGCTTTTCACTGAACACATGTGTTATGGATTGTTTGTTTGATTCCCAAGGGAATCGCATAGCCTGTGGTTTCTACACAGCACAGGCTTTCAAACGATTTTTTTGCAAACAAGTCATGGGAAATCGCACCGCCTCTGGTGTCCACATGAGAAAGTGGTTTGCGCGTTGAATCTTCAAACGGATTCCTAGAGACATCGCTGTACCCCTGGTTTTCACAGACAACCTGGTTTTTGCATTGTAGTGTGAAGTAGGATTCCTGAGAAATCGCAACGCCTCTGGTTCCCGTTGAAAACATACCGCCACTGAGGCCTGCGGTGGAGCTCCCTACGGGCCAAAATCGTGAGAGGGCCACGCATCGCGTGAGGGGTGTGCCGACATGGTTGATTGGTGAGGAGGACAGAGGCAGTGATGGGAGGAGGGAGGAGGGGGAGGAGGAAGGAGGAGAGACGAGGAGAGGAGAGGTCAGGAGGAGGAGGAGACGCGGGGCGCTGTCTCTTTAAAAAGAGGACCCGACACCACAGGATAGTTGGGGGGCCCGAAAGGGAGCGGGTGGGCGGGAACAGGCAGGTTGTGAGCTCAGCCGTGTACAGGCCAGTTTCGGCCTTCCTGCCCAGTGCATTCCTCAATCCACAGGCGCGTTTGGGTGGCTCGGGGTGTCCGAAACATTAGCTGCAGCGTGAAGCTGGTTCGCCAAACCCAGTCGGGGACCTTCTTTCCTTTAGGGCATAGCCATTTCGACCCAAGCCGTCCTCGCGCATTGCGATTCGGGCAACAGTAGGTGGATCATGTCTTGCTTCGAGTGCTTCGCAGGCATCTGCGGCGGTGGAGCATACAGCAAGAAGAAGGCGGCTCTGAAGAAGGCCAAGGGCTTGGTCGTGGAGCTGGTGAAGAGCAAGTCCTGCGCGCCAATCCTCGTGCGCACGGCCTGGCATGACTCGGGCACGTACGACAAGGCCAACGCAGGCAAACCCTGGCCGAATGCGGGCGGCGCCATCGGCTCGATCATCACCGACCACGAGATTCTCGCGGCCCCGAACGCGGGTCTGCAGAAGGCTATCACGTCTTACCTGCAGCCCATCAAGGACGCGTGTGGCGACGACATCTCCTGGGCAGACCTCATCCAGCTGGCCTCCGCCACCGGGATCGAGGTGGAAGGCGGGCCCAAGATCCCCATGAAGTATGGGCGCGTGGATGGCGTTCCGACGGAGCTGCAGCCGCCCCCGTTCGGCCTGCCGGGCGTCTGCTTCAATGAGGACCCCGTGGCTCACCTCAAGTACGTGTTCTACAAGTACGGCATGGACGACAAGGACATCGTTGCCCTCAGCGGCGCCCACACTCTCGGCCGAGCCTTCGCGGACCGCTCGGGCACGGTGAAGGATCCGCCACAACAAAAGGCATAGACACCCTCCAATGGATTGTTCCTGGGCCTCAGGGAGGGTGGCTGTGTATAAATCACAATTGTGAGCCAGCTACACCGCCGCCCTCCCTGAAGGTGCATGCAGGCTTCGTGGGAGGGCGTCAGTGTATATATTTTCGTGGCGTAGAGGAGGGCTCCACGGGGGGGACCAAGTACACCACCCGCGGCTGCCCGTACATGGCGAACTCTCTGACGGCCGGCGGCCGCTCCTGGACGAAGAACTGGACGAAGTTTGACAACTCGTATCCCGAAGGGCTCCGCCCGCCGCCGCCTGCCGCCGAAGGCTGGGAAGAAACAGAGGGAGGAGGAGGAGGAGGAGGAGGAGGAGGAGGAGGAGGAGGACGAGGACGAGGACGAGGACGAGGACGAGGACGAGGACGAGGAGGAGGAGGAGGACGAAGAGAAGGAGGAGGGAGGGAGGGAGGGAAGGAGGGAGGGAGGGCGGGAGGGAGGGAGGGAGGAAGGGAGGGCGGGAGGGAGGGAGGGTTAAATTTTCCTTTCAGGGTCACTTAGTTCTTGTTTGAGGGTCACAAGTTTTTCCCGGGTGACGGCAATTTTTTCTGGGACCCGCCGTGTGGGACATCCTCATCAAATGTCCATTGAATGACTGGTTGGTGGGGGGGCCAGTTGGCTGATTGGGTCGCCGGTTGACGGGTCAAACATTTTTTATCCTGGAGGTTGGTTCGTTGGTTGGCGAGTGTGTTGGTTAGCTGGTTGTCTGATTGGCTGCTTGGCCGGGTTTCCGTTTGCCCGGGAATGGTTGGTCGATTGGTCGGTTGGTTGGCTCGCTAGATTTACCAGGAGCGGTTGGTTGGTTGCTCGGTGGGTTTGCCGGTGGGTTGGTGGAGAGTTTGGTTGGCCGGGTGGCCCGTTGCCCGCTGGCTGGGGTGGTTTGCCGATTCTCCCCTCTATTCCCCTTCCCCTCCTCCCCTTCCCTCCCTCACTCCTCTTCCTTCGCCCCCCTCCTTTCTGTACCTTCCTCTGTTCTGCTCCCTCCCTGTCCTCCTCCTCCTTCTCCCTCTCGCCCGCAATTTGCTGCACTGCAACGTATTGCAACTGCGATACAGATGCGACGTAATGCAATGCAATGCACTGCAATGCGATGCACTGTAACGGAATGTGCGCCTTGTCGTGGCAGCGCCGCGGGGCCGAAACAAAGATGTTCCACTCCACTCCCCACGTGGTCACGCCTTGGCGGGCGACAAAATACTATTCCACTCTACTCGTCGTGTGGCACCGCCACGGGGGCTGAGAAAAATGCAATTCCAGTCGATTCGCCACGTGGCACCGCCCAATCCGATTAGCGGGGGCGAAAACAAATACTATTCCACTGCACTTGTCACATGGCAAGACCGCTGGGGGCCGAACAAAAGTGCTCACCCACTCCACTTGCCACGTGGCAGCGCCTGGAGGCGCGAAGAAACAGTATTTCATCAACTCTCCCCTTCGCCCGGCATTGACCACGACGCAATGTATTGTAAGTGCAATGCAGATGCAATGCACATGCAAATGCAAATGCAAATGCAAATGCAATGCAAATGCACTGCAGCGAAATAGGATACAATGCAATGCAACGCAACGCAACGCAACTCAATGCGCCCGCCTGCACGTCAGCACGCCCGCCCGCTCGCCCGCGCCCGCCCGCTCGCCCCTCCGCGCGCGCGTCCCATCCATTCCATTCCACTTCGTCACGCTCCTCCCTTCCCCCGCCCCGCGGTCATTCTAGATCAAAACAATGTATTCCGGGAGCAGCGGCGTGGGACATCCTCAAACAATGGCTCCCGGAAAAGGCTGGCTGGCTGGTAGGTTGGCTGGCTGTCTGGCTCCCTGGCTGCCGGGGGAGCCAGCGTCCAGAGGCCAATTCTGGCACACCTCTCACACGGATCGCGCCCGAGGGTGCCGGATTTTTTGTTGCTGCGCCGGGGAAGGATGCTGCTTGCGCCGGGAATCAAGACAACAACAGCAATCATTTTAAGATTGCTCGCTCTTACCTGCCCACGTGCCAATCAATACGTATATCCCAAACCCTCGGTGCCCGCCCTCTTCGTCTTTGATCGTACCCCCTTGGGTGTATACCTTCCTTACTTGCCACGTGCATTGCATGTAGTGCAGCCCTTTGAACAAGGGAAGAGAGGACGGGTAGAAGGGGGAGGGACAATAATGAAACACGAGAGAAATTAACAGGAGGGGGGCAAGGAGCAGAAAACAAGTGGTTGAACCAGACGGGCAGATCGGGTGGGCAGACCCATAGGGGGCACGTCGGGAAGGCGGGCCCAGGCGACCAGGTCAAGCAGGCGGGTTGCTGAAGCGTCCGTCCTGCGTGAATCGCGAGGAAGTTTCGAGCGATAGCACGATTCCCAAGTAAATCTTGAGAAAAGCCAAGGCGAGAGCGTGATTCCTGAGCGCCGAGGGCGCATCGTTTGAATAATTTGGGAGGAAGTCCCACGCGAGAGCGCGATGCGTACATGAATTGTGAGGAGGTCCCGCGCGAGAGCCCGATTTGGGAATAAGTTGTGAGGAAGTATCAGGCGGGAGCCGTTGTTGTACACCGGGGGCCAGGGGCCCAGTTTGAGCCTAGTGATTTTCCCTGATTTCAAACAGGGTGCGAGCCCCGGGGGAAGCACTTCAATTTAAAACACAAAAAGGTCACCGGAGGGAGGGGGGGATCAACAATAATTGTTCTTCAGTAGTGAGAGTTCAACCGTCCTTTTATAAAACTGTTCGCCCTTATCTGCTCGAGTGTCATTCAACGTGTATTTCACAAACCCTCGATACCCGCCCTCTTCGTTTTCGTTCGTGCCCCTCTTGGGGCTATATATGAATTCCCTGCAAGCCGGGCCCCGGCAAGCGGCGGGGCGGCTGCAGACCGTCGGCCTGGCCAGCAGCAGCGCTGATCGGCGGCAACCTGGCCCCAAGATGGACGGACAGGGGGCCGACCGCGACGACGACGACGACTACGACGACGACGACGACGAGCGAAAGCGAGAGCGAGATCGAGAGCGACAGCGGGGCCACGAAGGGCAGGAAGGGGGCCACGAAGGGCGACAGCGGAGCCACGAAGGGCATGCGCATGGAGCCACGAAGGCCGCGAACAAGCGGGGGCCACGAAGGGCACATAATTATTGCGGGGCCGCAGAGGGCAACGACGGGGCCACTGAGGGTAGCAACGGGGCCACGTAGGACAGCGAGGGGGGCCCTAAGGGCGACAGGGGGGCCACGAAGCGCATGCGCATGGGGCCACGACGGGCGCGAGCGAGCGGGGCCACGAAGGGCGTGCGTGCATTTGGCCGCAGAGGGCAAGGACGGGGCCACCGAGGGCAGCAACGGGACCGCTAAGGGCAGCGAAAAGGCCGCGAAGAGCGACAGCGGGGCCACGAAGCACATGCGTATGGGGCCACGACGGACGCGAGCGAACGGGGGCCACGAAGGGCATGCATATATGGGGCCACGAAGGGGCATGCGCATGGGGTAACGGGGCCACGAAGGGCAGCAAGGGGGCCACGAAGGGGTACAACGGGGCCACGAAGGGCAGCGAGGGGGCCACGAGAGGCTGCAACGAGGCCACGAAGGGCAGCGAGGGGGCCACGGAGGGGCGCAACGAGGCCGCGAAGGGCAGCGAGGGGGCCGCGAAGGGCTGCAACGGGGCCACGAAGGGCAGCGAGGGGGCCACGAAGGCTGCAACGGGGCCACGAAGGGCGGCGAGGGGGGCCACGAAGGGATGCAACGGGGCCACGAAGGGCAGCGAGGGGACCACGAAAGGTTGCAACGGGGCCACGATGGGCAGCGAGGGGGCCACGAAGGGCTGCAACGTTCCTAAGTAATGATGAGGGAGGCCTTAGCGTGAACGCGACTCTTGGGTGCCTGAGTATTGGGAGCGCGGCGCTTGAGTGAATTTTGGGGAATTCCAATGCAAGGGCGCGATTCTTGAGTAAATGACAAGCAAGGTTTCCAGCGAGAGCGCGATTCCAGAGCGCCGGGAGAGCGATTCCTGAATCAATTATAATAAAGTCCCAAGCGAGAGCACGATTCTTGAGTAAATCGCGAAGAAGTCTCAGGCGGGAGTGGGGGTCCTGGCTAAAATTGTGAGGAAATCTGAGGCGGGAGCCGTTGAACCGTCACTAGTGAAGAATAATGATTGTCGATCCCTTCTCATCCCCTCTCAAGTGCACACTGTTTTTTCAATTGAAATGCCCCTCCCAGCGCTCGCACCCTGTTTGTTTTGTATCATGGAAAGTGTTCCTCCTCAAACTGTGCCCCTGGCGCCCGGTTTACAACGACAGCGGCTTCCGCTTGATATTTCCTCGAAATTTATTCCGGTCCCCCGCTCCCGCTTGAGACTTCTTCGATTTACTCAAGAATCGCGCTCCCGCCTGAGAATTCACCGCAATTTACTCAGGCGCCGCGCTCTTGCCATTGAGGAATCGCGCGTTCGCTGGGGAATTCCTCAAATTTAAGAATCGTTCTCTCGCTGGAAACTTCCTGGCAAATCGCGCAGAACTCACGACCGATCCGCCCGTTCGGCCCGCCCGTCAGGGTCATACCATTCGTGCCCCATGCTCGTTCGCGTCCTTTGTGCCACATTGCTGCCCTTCGTGGCCCCTCCCCTTGTGCCCCAGTCGCTGCCTTTCGTGGCCACGATGCTGCCCTCAGTGGCCCCTCGTTGCCCTTTGTGGCCCATATATACGCCCTTCGTGGCCCCGAATCGCTCTCCCCTCAGTGGCCCCAGTGCTGCCCTTCGTGGCCCCGCTGCTGCCCTCAGTGGCCCCCTCGCTGCCCTCTGGGGCCCATATTCGCCCCCCGTGGCCCCAGTCGCTCGTGCCCTCAGTGACCTCATTGCTACCCTTCGCGGCCCCGGCGTAGGCTCTTTGTGGCCCACTCGCTGCCATTGTGGCCCATCTGTACGCCCTTCGTGGCCCCCAGTCGCTCGTGCTTTCGGTGGCCCCATTGCTGCCCTTCGGGGCCGAATTGTAGCTTCGTGTGCCCCACCCCCCCCGCTGCCCAATGTGGCCCCCTTGGTACCCTCTGTGGCCCATCTGTTCGGCCTTCGTGACTCGCAGTCGCTCGTGCCCTCAGTGGCCCCATTGCTGCCCTTCGCGGCCCCAGCGTAGCCCCTGGTGCCCCCATCCCCGCTGCCCATCGTGGCCCCGCTGCTGCCTTCAGTGGCCCAGACGCTGCCCTTCGTGGCCCCCCGTCGCTTGCGCCCTCAGTGGCCCTGTTGCTGCCCTTCGTGGCTTTCTCCTCTCTCT